GCGTGCATTCGATTGCCCACAACAGCGGAAATGCCAAGCGAGGCGCCAATATGAGAAAATCGATGGTTGGCGTCCAATGACCTCACAAGCAAACCACCAGGACAGAATGCTAGACTAGTCTGTGGTCATCGCGCTCGTCGGCTTCAACCTGAACATTCCCGCAATTGTTTCTTGGATTTCATGGTTTTTTTTTTCATCTCTCCTTTCTTCCGTTTCCCGGCTCGTTCTGCCTCCACCCAGGAAACTTGTTCACGGCATGTCGCTACTGTTTAAAACTTCAGGGACAATTCTCTCCCTATCGTCAACTTTAAAATAAATCCCCTCATATCCATGACAATATGGTTTTGTTATTCACGTTCACTGGTTTTTCGCAACTCCGGAATTTCGCGGTGGCTCATGTATCTGTTACGAATTATCTTCGTGTACATTGAATGAGTTTCCGATGGGGAATATAAACATATCTATCGAGACGTCACTCCAAACAGGTCAGCGTTGTGCTGTCGCACGCAATCCCCTGCACTCTATTTTCCATATCCATTGGATTGTCCTTCAATCAAATAATGAAAATGAATAATCGCCATTACCAAGAAGCAATGACGAATGAGAATGAATGGAAGAATTTGATATCCTTTGAATTAAGTGGAATCGATTGATAGCAATTGCTTCTCCGGTTACTCCGATTCTTGAATTAAATTCAGTTTCCCGCAACTGAAATTACCGTCAATTTGTCATCGATTTATCTGAGGATTTATCCAGTTATGTGTGACGGATAAATATAACTGAAAAATTTGCGCGAATAGTCACGTAGGTGGATGCAAACGTGCAACTCAATACAGAATTTGGTATGCAAACGAAAATGGTGCACCACTTGGGTATTGTCAGTCCAGAGAGATCTGTCTATTTGGTTGCCTAGTTTCAGCCAATTGGCCTTCGTGGCTGCACTTGCATTGACACTTGACAACTCTATGTGCACACAGTTGACGAGGATACGAACGACATCAGTCAGACCTCCGGTGATAATAATAGCATGAAAGAGAGGTGGAGAAAAGGTGAAAATTGTTACCATTTTGGTTCAAGGGCAATGTGAAGAACATTTTTCTCTTCTGTGCACTGTTACAATTTTTTTTCAATTTCTGTTAGACTTTTTTCAAAATTGGTGTCAATAATGGTTCTCTTAAAATTTCAACAAATTTTATCGTTGAAATTTTACAATTGGAAGGAAAAAACAATAGAAATTATCTGATTATCTCATAAAAATTAATAGAAATCAGCGAAAAGTTAATCTTGAATTCAAAATAAAGCCAAAATTCAACTTAATTTCGTACTAAATATTAATGTTTTGCCTGAAAATTCACGCGAGTTGAGGAATTCTCGTCCTCCTGCTGTTAAAAAATGTGGAATTCTATTAAATTTTCAGTGAAATATGAAATATCATCATTTGTCCCTTAATCGAATTGAGTGTCGCTCTCCTGAAAATTACGGCCAAACATTTCATGTAATACCTGAATGTGATGAATAAATAATTTGATGAATAGATGAATGGGCTAACGTTTCAATTTTTTTCTGACTCTGTGACACTCATACGCCAAGGGGCGTTATTTGTGCCCTTTTACTGCTGGGAGGGATGTTTACACATCGATGAAGAGTGGAGGCGTGCAACGAACGCTGAGGGGGAAATATTTTTCGAGGCACTAATTAATAGAATGCGCTTTTAATTATGTCGGGGTCACAAGTTCTGGGGGTGTAAAGTATTCTGTGGGAGTTTCGAGTTTATTTAATGTATTTCTAGAACTTGTTTTGGGAAAGGTCGCGGGTAATTGTAAAGCGTATCTTGCAATTACTTCGATTTATATTTATTTCAAGGTTAAGCGCAGATCAATGAATAGTTCGACCAAACCGATAATTTTGATTTTTTTTTATACTTGTTTTTATTCAATTTTTAATTTCACTCGAGCATTCTCAATGTAATTGGGAATTAGTGTCCACCAGCGAAACGCCGAGGGCTCTTTTCAATTCGCTGTCCCAATTCGCTGTAATAATTTACCATCACAATGTAAAATTCAATTTCCCTCAGTTTTGAATATTTCAACGTGACTTTGATTAAAATCGTATATTTATGAATGTCATTTCAATTGCACTCGTGAAAAATTTTTGTCCACGAGAAGTAAAAATGCATGGAGAATACACTCGAGCGTATTTTTCGCGTAATAAATATTTTACGTGCAGTTTCAGAGTTTTAAAAGTTCAACTTCTAAAAGTTTGACATTTTTCAAATTTAACCGCAATATTCGGTTTATGAAAACATACGCTCAAACTTTGCGTAAGTGTCCACAAGATAGTCTGCCCAGAGTTTACAATTCCAGGTTCTATGTATGCATTGAAAAATGAACCTTTAACCCTGGATTGGTTCCCATATGAGGGAAACGCAGCAGCACGTCGTTTTTCGTTAATTACCATCGACTGGATAAACGGAAAAATAAAAAAAAAATGACTTTTTCAATTGAAGTGTATAACACATTATTTACAACAATATAATCCCCAAAATTCCAAAAGAAAATTAATTATTTCCAACAGAAGAATTTTTCAAATAAATTAAATTGTCATAGTGCTGCACTATGACAATTATTTCTCATTTCTCCACTATCCCTATGAACATCTGGTTGATTAACATCTATTGCAGATGAATACCACTATCAGAAGAATTTTTTCCCCACGTTAAATGAAATGGCCCGTCACGCAACGTTGCCGGAAACCGACTAAACGCGCCCGGGCAGTGTAGAGTCAATTCGGCAACGCTAAAGCCTAAATAACACGGCGGTACATTCCCGCGGAGGTGACTAAAGTTGCTGAGTCGCAGGGCATCTGATAGGACTACTAGGAGACTATTATAATTCTCACCAAGCCCATTCATCCTGACATTTTACGCAGTTTCAAAGTTTTATCTGAAAAATCATAGACATTGTGTTTGTCAAAAAATACTAATAAAGCTTCTCGCTCAGCATTTCCTGAGTCCAACAATAATATTTATAAGTATACTTTATTAAAACATTTTGACAAACTTTGCAAAATTGCTCACAAAAGCGTTCTCAAAGTTTTCCACTCCACGTGCTATGTATGCCTTAAAAAAATGAAAATTTTAATCTCAAGAAATGCTTACGCTATAACAAGAGCATCCTACCCCTTAATTCTGCGGAACCCAGGGTGTCTCAAGTGTTATCATTAAATAACACGAGTGTAGCTGATAGGACTACTAGAAGACATAATCCTCACCAAGCTCATTCGTCAAGATATTTTAGGCAGTTTCGGAGTTTTCTCATAAATGTCATGGACAACGCGTTTGTAAAAAAAAATACTAATCAAAACTTCAAGTTGAAAAGTTCACCAACTCCTGAGTCCAATAATGATATTCATAAGTATACTTTATTAAAACATTTCTACAAACTTTAAAAACTGCCCACAAAAGCCTTCTCCAAGTTTTCAATTCCGTGTGCTATGTAACCGTGAAATAAAATGAGCATTTTAATCTCAAGAAATGCTCAGGGTATAACACGAGCGTCCTATACCCTACCCCTTAATTCTGCACATCCCAAGACGTCTCAAGTATCATTAAATACCACGAGTGTAGATGATAGGGCTACCCCAGGCGACTTATAATCCTCTTCAAGCCCATTCATCCACATATTTTGCGCACAGTTTCGGAGTTTTCTCATAAACGTCATGGATAACGTGTCGGTGAAAAAAAAAATACTAATAAAACTTCAACTTGAAGAAGTTCATCATTTCCTGAATTCAACAACAGTATTCACAAAAATACTTCATCAAAACAGTCTTACAAACTTTGCATAACAGAACGCAGCAGCCCGTTAGAAGCCTTCCGAAAGTTTTTAATTCCATGTTCTACGTATGCATTAGAAAAAATGGCCATTCAAATCTCAGCAAATGCTTACGATATAACTCAGGCATGCCATAACCTGCCCCTTAATTCTGCACAACCTCGGGCGTCTCAAGTGTCATCATTAACTAACACGACTGTTGCTGATAGGACTACCAGGAGACTATTATAATCCTCGTCAAGCCCATTCATCCAGATAATGAAATCCCTCAGCAACAGAGATCCCCGGAATATCCAAATGGCCATAAACCTAGATTGGAACTCGCCGAAATCCCCAACAATAGCACACACTGACTAACACCCAATAATAACCAGCAACTCAATTCCCTCAACCTGAAAACCCTCTGATATGGTAATATCCTTGTCGACATAACTCACACACAGCGATGGAAAAAGCCAAAGAAAAACAGCAGAAATGAGCGGAAGCACAGGATCGATCGATAATGAAACAATATACACAGTCCTTGCCAAGTGTAGACGCCAAGTCAATTTCATTTCAGTTATTCCAGTCGCTAAAGGACAAAATCAAGCCCCCAATGTGTCCACTTCTGTGGATATCCATTTTAACCCCTTCCTCCTCCTCTCTCTCTCTCCTCCCCAACAACTCCAAACGGTTCCTGGTCTCAACTATGAGTGAGGAAGAATCGTCTAACGCCCACAAGAAACAATATCTATTACTCGTGGCACGCAGAACCAATCTATTCAACTCCATGTCGACGTGACGGAAGTTACCACTGATGAACAACTGCACGATATGCCTAGTATCTATATCATTTTGTGAGCAATGGCGTCCTCGAGAGACAAGTGAATATTTAGCTTAACATGTAATGTCAGAAGGCACAGTATTTCGATTTTTTATTCCATCAGGCTGCACCAAAGCCTCACAAATCTCCCGGCGTTACCTCCAAACGATCCCCCTGACACACAAAAGCTCTTCCCCATTCGTACTTCATTCCAGTTACGTGGATTTTCGCTCGAAGTCGCACATATTCCGAGAAAAAAAAAACCCAGCGAAGTGGGGGAAAAAGAACGTTATCTCGAGCTCGTTCCGATCCGAGTGTCACTCATATTTTCATATGCGGGGACATGAATATTTATGGATACTTACCGCCGTTCTTAACATCCTCCTTCGCCTCCTCCGCGCCCGCCTGAACGCTCTCCTTGCTCGTGTTGCATCCCATTTTTACTTATTGAAGTGTTAACAAAATATTCGCTAGTCCGTTTGTCCCCGTGTACGCACGACAATACAGTTAAACAGCGCAGTTTCTTATCAACATTTGGGTGAAAATATTTCGTATTACTCCGGCACGGATGTGGCCAGCTGTGGTCGAATGCTCAACGAAGAGCGAAATTAATGAAAACTCTCGTTCTCGGGACAAACGCGTAATTGGTCCTCCCCCCTAAAATTATAAATCACAGATAACAATCACTGGACTATTTTTGCTATCTTAATTTATACAAAAGTCAGTCGATACTCTTTGCACTGGTGAGGCTGGACGTGTCTGTTGCAATTCCTTATTTAAATCAACTCCAAAAATGTATTAATCACCTTGTCAGAATTACTAAAAGCGCAGGTAACTGTGTGCATTTGAATAAATTGGTGCTGCGTCAGTTCAATTAGTATTTATAAAAAATATCTCATCGGTACAATCAACTGGGCCTTACGGTAATTTTAAAACTACCGGCTTCACTATGAGTGCCTACGCTACAGTACACGAGTAACATGGATGGGTCCCGGCGGTGTCACGGGGCGAACTGACTCTCTCTCACTCAGCCGTTTCTGCCGACGACCCTGCCCTTGCGTCGCGACTGCGTATATATATCCAATTGCATGTATAGCGTTCATGTGAAACTAGTATGGAACTTGGGGCTCACAGCTTCACAGCAACCAAACCACCCCCTTCCATGTCGGCTTTTTTTCGCAATCTTCCCGACACAGAGACGTGGTAAACCGATCGAAACTCACCCCGAGGGCTCATGCTGACTCTCCGGATCGCCCGGAGGGTTACAATGAGCTTACGCATCACATCCCGCTTCATTTCTCTGTGACTCTCATAAATCCCGCAATTAAAGCCGGCCTTTTGTACACGTGAGATTCAGCTCACCTCTTAATTACGGTGATTATTATTTTAATTATTATTGTTATTATGGTTTCGTTGAATTTTTCGCTGAATTATTTGGAGCATTAAAATGTGGAGTGCTTTGAGGGATTTTATTCAGGATTTTTGTTTGGGTTTGCAATTAAAGGAGTCCTTTTTATTAAAAATATTGTTTTTAATTGCTGAAATGAATGTGAAATTTACATGTCTGCGGTGGACCATTTGTACGCCTCCTCTTGCACAGCGGCTCGGGAATTGCGAGCCTCAAACCATTTTTTCTCATATCCGTTGCTACGGTCAACACCGTCCCAACGGTGACCCGGTTTAATTCCAAATCGATTTGGCATGAATGAGCCCTCGTAAGTCGGTGCATCAGGCTCTCTCTTCCCTTCTTTAATCTGTTTATCTTTGATGTAAGCGAGCATTGGATCCTCGGCGTACTCCATTGCCCGTTGTTGCGAATCTAAATCAACATCGTCGGCGTATCTTGCCAGGGGTTTGCTCATCTCGTAGAGATCGTCCTTGAGCTTCTGAGTTTGGTCGCTCACTTGTTTCAGCCTGGGGGAAATTAATGGGTTATTTATTTTGCCCGCGGGGGGAGATCGAGGGAGAACTCATCGGAGGGCTTGCCGATCGGTTTGTTTAGAGGGCAGAGGGATCAATAATGAGGATAAAATGTTGGTTGTATGGTGAAAAAGTGCGCTGGGAGTAATTATTTCAATGGGTCCAAGATATTAACGGATCTTTTTATTTGAGAATGTAATGGGTATTTACGTGTGGCAATTATTCGGGTTTTGGGGATTTTTTTTCGTTAGGGTTTCAGCCAATCGGAGGGGACTCTATTCGAAGCTGTTGGAATGTTTCATTTCGGTAATTCAATGGGGAAAGGCTGCCGGAGCTTCCTTTGGAAATCGTGGAGTGGATCGGTATGTGTTTTCGCACCGGCGGGCAGAGTGCATATTTCACAGTGAGAAAAAAGGGAAAAATTACAGAAAAAGTCAAGTAATCGTAGAGCGAACTCGATTTTAAGTACTTTTCATCCTATGTCGGGGAAAAAGTGCGTGACGAATAGTGAATTTTTCTCCGTTGGCCCGGAAAATAGTATATTGCGCATCAAGGGCGGAAAGTCATGTTTTCCCCAGCCCGAGGTGCACATGCGGGACATTCGTGCGACTCTACGCCTACGCCGAGGCAAAAAACACGGTTTTGACCGCGGGAGGTAATTAATTAATTTCATCAACAGAAATTGATTACATGCCTCAAAAGATGAAGTTTCGAAGGTTTAAACAATTTCAATTATTTCGTTATAAACAACGACCGTTTAAAAAAAATAAAAATTCGGTGCAAAATGTAATTTCAATGACGCTGAATATTCATGATTTTTTTTTTTCAAATTTTTATCCACGAAATTTAATTGACAAAATTGGTGATTATCAAACTGTGAAAAATACTTGGATATCCTTAATAAAAAAAAAATGGTATGAAAATTCTAGTTTTCTATGTGCAGAGTCTTTCTTTGGACAAATTTCCATACAATCTCCCTACAGGGTTTCCTACAGGACAACTCCATATAAATTTTCTTTCGTGAATCTTCAACCAGGAAACCCCATTGAAGAACACCGCCAACGACTCCATCAAACGAATGACTGGAATACGAGTATAATTGAATCTTTCGTTCAAATACTCACCCTTTCCCCCACTTGGCATATTTCTCATCGATTTTCGCTTGTTCCTTCTCCTTCTGCCTTTTATCAGCAGCCTCAGCAGCCAAATCACGTTTTCTCCCAGTCTTCCTGTCACGCAAAACTGGCGCCTGTCCCTCTCCACTCACCTCTGCACTCATCTTAAATAGAATAACAATTCTCATTTTAAATAGTTGAAGGTATTTTGATATTCCTGACCAAAGTGCAACTTTTAATGAAACGAAATGAACTGAAATGTTTGTGAAAGTTCTTGCATAATTAATTCCTCCTGGTAATTACGGTGGATACTTACTTTGTTGAATAATTCCCTCTCTCGTTTCTTGTGTGCTATTGTCTCCTCCCTCAGGGCATTGGCGTCTAGCAGACCTGCAGTTTTACCACTTAAAGTCTTCTTCATTCGTCTTTCGACGTCTGGGGATGAAGACTTCCTACTTTCCTCTTCTTCGTTCCACCTGGATTTTTTTCTTCCAGAGGATTTCTCTTGGTTTCGTCGAGAGGACTCGGATTTATCTCGTTGGAAGTCTGATCTGGGATTTTTTTGGTCATTCCTTCGGTGCCTGGGAGGACTCAAGTCTGAATCAGAGCCTCCTTGCCTCCTAGATGACCTCGATTCAGGTTTATTTGATTTTCTAGGGGGACTCAAGTCAGAATCTGATCGCCTGTCTCTCTTGTAAAATTTTGGATCTTCCCTCCTGGATTTTCTTGGTGGACTGAAGTCTGAATAAGTATTTTTATGACTTCTAGAGTCTCTCGAGTCTCTAGGAGGCCTTCTGGGGGGACTCAGGTCCTCATCTGAGTCCCTTCGTCTCTTAGATCCTGAAGGACTCGAATTGAGGTCGTAGTTCCTTCTGCTAGAATGGCCCTGGGGTCTCCTCGGAGGATCCAGATCGAAATCGTCTGGTCTTCTCCTCCTAAAGTCTTCAGGACCTTTTTTATTCCTTCTAGGGGGACTTATATCACTGTCTGACTGGTTCTGATACCTCTTGGTATTTGCAGGACTCAAATTTTTCTGTTTTCGTGACCTCGGAGGGCTCAAATCATCAGAATCTCTTCGTTTTCGTGGCCGTGGAGGACTCAAATCAGAATCCTCATCATCAGGAGTTGTTCCACGATGTTTTGAAGACTTTTTAGACTTTGATTTACTATTTTTGCTAGGCTCGGAATCTGAAGATGAGCTGGAACTCGAGGAGGAGCTCGTTTCAATGTTCGAACTCTTCTTACGTTTTCTGGATTTTTTCTTGGAGTGGGCCTTCCTGGGTGGGGACAAATCATCGTCAGAATGTTTTCTGGATTTTCTGGGTGGAGTTTGATTAGAATTACCATTTTTACTCTCCCTTTTATCGTCTCTAGGAGGCTTTTGAGAGGGTTTGGGGACACTGTCGTTTGATATCGATTCGTTCTCTACGTCCCTGGAGCGTGACTGGCTGCAGCTCACAGCGACGTTTCCATCCCCATCGTCTGCTATTATTTTCCATCTCCTTTTATCGGCGAAATCAACTGGCCCACGCTCGTCGATGATTCCTACGATTTGCGGTGCATCCTCTGTTGCATTGAGAATCTCGAATTCCCCTTCGTCGACTGGACGTATGTGGTTCAGGTCAATGTCGTCGTCGATGATTTTAACACTGCGAAATTATCGTCATTCCATTGTTAATTTCATTTTGAATATTCGTGCCGTTGCTCCGATTTAAGGGGGATTTAAAGTTATTGGAATTGAGTGTTTACGTTTGTACAACTGTAAACATAACCTACAAAAAATGCACAGGCAGTTTGGAGCAATCGATAATGTACTTACTTGGTGGAGGCGACTTTCACTTTCTTCTTTTTCTTCTTCTTTTCATCTTTATCAGAACGCAGATACTTCTTCAGGTAAGCCTTTTGATCAACCACAACCTTTGCCATTTCAATGTTTACGGATCGAAAACGTTTTGGAGCAGGAGGAGTAGACACTGTTCACGTCAGCTGGGCTGCCCAAGGGGGAATTCTACCGATAAAACAGATTTGGAATACGCAGCAACTACTGCGATACCCGGGATTCATTCAATTCAAATATATCGAGTGAACAATTCGTCCTATTTTTTGGATCGGGGTGATTTTAATCGACTAAATGAATAACAAACAAAAAAATAGTAATGAATCATGAATAATAAATTTCTGATCTGGCTGAAGGCCCTCGGACGATGGCCTATTGTAAGAGATTTATTTTTTGTGTATTTTTCTCACAATAAATACCGTTAAAAATTAATTAATTAATTTTTAAGAAATTGATTAATTAATTAAAAAAAGGACACTTTAGACTTTTTTAAAATTATTCATAACTCAGAAACAAATTTATCAAGTGAGCTCAGTTTAGACTCGTCTCAAAGGGAAAGAATTGTATTAATTAATTAATTAATTAAATTTCTTAAAAATATGTATGTATGTATGTGTATTAATTAATTAATTAATTAAATTTCTTAAAAATTAATTAATTAATTAATACAATTCTTTCCCTTTGAGACGAGTCTAAACTGAGCTCACTTGATAAATTTGTTTCTGAGTTATGAATAATTTTAAAAAAGTCTAAAGTGTCCTTTTTACCCCACCCTTCCCTATTTAGAATTCCTGCATACGTTCCGTCTACCCTTATCATCCGACTCTACACTTCATTGAGACAGAACTCGTGCGTAGTTCTGTACACTGTGCCTTTTGGCTGAATACTGACGACCTATCAGCTGTACGAGGACCGGTTTGACCAATTCAGTAGTGAAGCGGTAAACCGGGTTAAGTCGATTTTGACTTTTGATCAGTTTTTGATGAATATCTCAGAACCTAAGAGAGATAGCAAAATTTTTCTTATGACCTTTTTTGTAGAACCAATTAAGGGCTATAAAAAGGTCGCAACAAAAATTTTTCTATCTCTTTTAGATTCCGAGATATTCGTAAAAAACTGGCCAATAGTCAAAATCGACTTAACCCGGTTTACCGCTTCGCTACTGAATTCAAACAAAAAAAAAAAGAATAGAACCATCCATCAATAACGATGCCATTATTCCAGTTCACCCTGTGTCACAACATAATCGTCTCAATTACTCTCTGAAAGACCTACATTCCCCCTCCTAATATTCTATTACGCCACACAAAAATCTGCATTCGAGTTCCAACCACACATCTTCATTCTGATGTAATTACCCACACCATAAATGGAATCTTGAAACTGGCGCAACACAGATCACCTCAGTTCACCTAAATTCCAGCAGAAAACTCCACAGCTCCTAGATCTCTTGAAACCCATCGTGCTGATGCTCTTAGCTGCTTCCCAAAAATGCATATCACAAAAAGAAATGAGGAATGCAGTCGAATAGTAGCGCTAAGGAATCCCGCACAAACGCATGGTACCGCGAGAGTTGAATTCCCCCTACCTCGTGTAACAGGTAAAAACCCATGCGATTGGAGAACACGTTGAGTCAAGGTGGTAGGGGAGCGAAAGTGAAGCCGCCACCAAGAATGGGCAGGACGAGACACACCAAGGCCTTTAGTATTTCTCACACGCAGAAAGTACATTATACCTCGCGTTTGGTAAAAATACACTGGGCACTAGCCATGTTCTCTCCTCATCATCGGAGGTGAAATAAAAATCGGTAGAATATTTGCATCCTCTGGATAGATGGGCACGCACATCCGGGATTGTGCAGCGGCTCTAGGGGAATGGAATCTGCGTTTAGATAGTGCAGTGAGAAGCATCTGACATAAGTGAATTACAGGCGAGGACGGGTGGGACCGGATTTGACATTTCTATTGAGTAATCGATGATCGCGAACTCGTAAAAAATTATTTTCATCATTTTGTCTCCATTGTTCGATGCTTTATCGAAGGGGATTTGGGATTTCTATGCCGTTTGTTAATATTTACACGGGAAATAATGCTGACGTCGAGCGCCTGTCTTTGGAGTGATTATTCTCGGTGAAGTAATCGTGACGTTAGTGTCGTAACACCTGTTTTCGAGTTAAACGCGGACGAAGTTGTGAATCAAAATGACGAGGAAGTTGAGCAAATTTCTGATTCTGTTTGATAACACCAATTTGTTGTACTTCCCTGGACATTTTCTGTCAGGGAGAGTGCTCATCGAGCTCGATGACGAAGCTTAGTAAGTATAATTCCATCAATCGCACCTAATAAATAATGTATTATGATGAGAACCTCAAACACTCGTGAACTTTCGATTTTTACCATTCTGGGAGCTCTCACAAACGCACTCAGAGACGTAAATTGTCTGCCAGGTGAGAGCGGGTACCAACGCACGTGCGTTGAATAATTGTATTCCTTTCAGTCACGTATATACACATCTGTCTCCCCACAATAATAATTAGCAAAAAATGGTGAAAATAAATTTTAAGTAGTGAATTTCTGCGTTGAGAAAATTAATGGGGCTTGAATGGAGTCCTGATTTTCACGTGTGGTATTCACTGCTAATAAAATTATCATAATTCAGCCATTAAGTGTCTCATGAGGGGAATGAAGACAACAGGTGATTTTTTCTTCGAAAGTTGCGACCTGGTTCCAAGATGCTTCGAATTAAAAAGAAGTTCATCACTAGTGGGGCGTTTCGTGTCCCGTTTACGGCCCTCCAATTTTTCATGTTAAAGCCGAATTTTAGATAATAAAGGCTAAAAAATTATAGAAGGTTGTAAAATATTCAGTTATAAAATTGTCTCGTAAGCTTTGGCATTAATCTTTTAGGATATGCGCTAGGAAGAATACCAAAGCACAAACAGTTGATGAATATCCTAAAAAATTCTATAGAGATCCTAATTTTCGTTCAATTTCCTAGAACTTTCCTTGTTGTTTTTAGGGAAAACGAATATCTTGGAGGATTTTTTAGACGATTCTGCACCTGTCTAATCGTTCCACAACATTCTAAATCATTCCACATTTTCCGGGAGAGACGAACACCCCAAATTATATGCAGAATAATTATCAGAGTAATGTTTGAAATATTTTTTAGTGTATCAGGACTGCACTTTCATGTTATCGGCGAGGGTGTTGTCCGGCTGAGGAGTCAACGTGCTGAACGAGTGTACGACAAGGAAAATTATATAGACTTTCGTATGCGATTGCTGGGAGAGCCCGGTATGCATGACGCGAATATTGAAATAATGAGGATCATAAAGCATTATTCCTTGCCATACCTCTTTTGTATTAACGGTATATGATGTTTCCAGGCGAGGGACCATCACTCCTGTCCCCAGGCATCCACAGCTTTCCCTTCAAACTGGGCTTACCACTTGGTTTGCCATCGACGTTTCTCGGTAAACACGGGTGGGTGCAGTATTACTGCAAAGCTGCACTCCGCGAGCCCGGCGGGCTGACCCACAAAAATCAACAGGTGTTCATCGTCATGAATCCCATCGATTTGAATCTAGAGCCGCCAATTTTAGCTGTGAGATTCTTTATGTTTTAGCTGTTGCAATGTCGACGGGATTGTGTGAATTATGAGTCTTTTATGCAATGATTATTGATGCAGCAACCGGCGAGGCTGGAGGTGGAACAACGAGTGGGTGTATCTTGTGTGTCCGGGGGCCCTGTCTTCTGCAGAGTCAGCCTTGATCGAGGTGGATATGTCCCTGGGGAGACTATTGGCATTTCAGCGACTGTCAGCAATCGCAGTAAAGTTAGCAATTTATGTGTTTTTATGGACATTCTATCAGTAGGTGGTAAATCAATATGATGAATTAAAAAATGACGTTTAGGAGAATTTATTTGAAGGATCTTTTTTAGTTGCAGTATACTGGGAGGGCCACAAGGATTTAAATATTCATATTTTGTTGCATTTTTGGGTATTGATACGAACAACGAATTCGCATTTTGCAATTTTTTGGGGGTTCGTACCTGCTGCGTCCTCGTCGCGAACTCTGGGCAATGCCAAGTGCTGGTAGGGCTTGATGTTAATGCCCACCCTGCGTTTCGATCTTGATTTTCGATCCCTTTATATGATTAAAAAATCAGTGCCCTTGGATTGGGGTGTGACCGCTAGGGGTTGATGGAATTGGGTGTGACCCATTATGGGCCGAACCAATAAATTCTCGACTGATTCCCTTTTTTCTGTTGATTAAAAAAAAAAGGAAATTTTGAAAGTTTCATACAAATAACTGAACAACCGCTGAGACGATTCCACTCAACATTTAATTAGAATCGAGTTATGTGAAGACGTATCGATTGAAAAAAAAGTTGAATTGGTTCATTTGTTCAGGAGAAATCGCTGGACAACATTTCACACACACACAGACATGTCTTCGAAAACTTTTCAGGATGACTCAAGAGGTCATGAACTGTGGACTAATCATCGAAATTCAATATTTCATTTTCGGGGTCATGACAATAACTTCTTCCGTTTAGGTCGGGAAGTTCAAAATTAACTTTTACCTCAAACAGGGAGTTCCGAAGAGGAAGACCTGTATAGCTACGTGAATATCCATATTATAATACGAATTGACATGAAGTGGCTCGTCTTTTATACTGGGACTCACTTCTTTAAACTCATCCACATTGACAATATTCACAGCAGAAAATAAAAATTAATGTTCAATTCATCTCTTTCCACCACTGCATGACAGATTGAGAGAATTTTAAAATTTTATGGGAATTCTGCAGTGCATATCTCCGCAGGGGAATAGTTCAGGAGAATTTATCGAGACCTTTTCATGAAAAGTACCGCGAATATATTTGCAAACTATTTATTGCCGTTTCTCGCATTCACTGGTTCCCTCAGGTGACGATGAAATCAACGAAAGCGTCGCTGACGGAAACTATTCAGTACATGTGCAGAGGAAAAGTCCTCGCAAGTGAAACTAGAGAACTGGCTAGTGTATCACGGGGGAAAATACGCCCTGGGGAGGGGGAGGAGTGGTTGAATGAGCAGATGTATGTTCCTCCCCTCCCTCCCACCAATCTACGAGGATGTCATTTGATTAATGTCCTCTACCATGTTTATGTGCGTATAAAATTTTTATGACTATTTTAGGGTCTGCATTCCAAGTGATGCAATAATTGAACTTTATTTGCAGTTCGTCATAAGTCCTAAGAGCTTGGACAAGGAGATTAAGCTCCAGATACCCATTGTCCTGGCGACGTATCCTCTTCGTCAAGAGGGGGCACCTGCGGGGGCTGCTCCATCTAAGCGGGGCGCACATTACCCCTCAACGTTGCCAATATTCAGACCCTGGCTCGACGACAAGGCTTTCGAGGTTCAAGAGTAGAATTTAAAACTATTGAGTCTGAATTTTTATACTGTAAATGATAGACCGTTATTTATTCATTCTCTGCGAATTAAATCCTCCTGAATTAAATGTGAATGTAAATGTAATTAATTAATGTTGACATGAACGAGACTAATGAAACTGTGTTTTGTACAGTAATATAGGAACTATCGAGATTTATTTACTTATACTGCTAATTATGGAATAAAAAAGTGTTTCTTAATACTAAAAACCGTTCAGGAGTCGGACTTTATCTCTGCTTTCAACTTCTCGAGAACCGCTGGTGCAGTACAACCGGTTACGATGAGCGTTTTTTGGCGACACCTCGATCCCTACATTGATAATAATTTTTTGTACTTGTTGAAGCAGTTCTAGAGAGGTGAAACTTACCCGGTCTATACTGACGTCTGACTTTCTCACACCCAGGACTGAGGAAAGGTATTTCATTAGTTCTGAGTTTGCTTCACCCTCTACCGGAGGGGCTGATATTGCAACTCCAACGCCTTCGTCTGAGATACCTGTCGCGTTACATATTTAGAGTTGAGAATAAAATAGCGAATTTCATTCGTCCATCTAAATTTTTTAACCCATCATCATTCACGTGATTTTTAAACATCCCTTTTTCAATATTATTGATTTATTTTTAACGAAATTTGTTCCAAGGAACTCGCAACTGGCCATCGCCTGGGGGCATTCGGCCGAGCATTTACATTTTATGAACCTAATAGTTGGCACTAACAAAGAAGAAAAAGTCGGTCTGTGTGTTCATTTTGCTGTTTTCAATATTTTTTTTATGAAAACCGACAGTTGCAGAAAAGGAAAAATATGTTGGGGAGGGTGGGACAAAATAAATACTTGACTTTTTTTTTCGACAGAAAAAGCTTGATCTTCAGAGACCCATCTCTAATTTGTGAGAATTTATCTCGAAATTTCAGTGATACAAATCACTGATAGTCAGGGTCATTCTAGTCAGTGTTCAGTATCAGCAATAATTGATTATAGATCCCTAGAAATCAGTGACAGGTCCCAGAAAATGAGTGACACATTCCTGAAAATTGAAAATTTTTTTCTCTGCAAATGTTCATATCTTCGAAACGAATTGATAAATTGAAACTAGTCTAGGCCGATCAGAAAAGGGAAGAATTCTATAGTTCATTGGAAAAAATAGTCCATTTTATTAAAAATTCGACAAATAAATGTACTCATTCTCACTTGCCGCTAGCTAAATAATTCAAAGTTCAAGGAGTACTATTGATCCAAAAGTTTCCATTCCAATCACTGAGAAAGGGATAAAATTATGAATAAAAATCCTGGGGCCTGTTAAACCCCCCACGCGAGTGAAGAAGGGCTAATTTATCATTTGAATTGAGATAAAGTTCTACCTGTTATATTGCTATGTTTGGCGCCTGGTTTCGTACGAATTTGAATAACAACATTTCCATCTTTATCGGTGGTAACCGGCCCAGACTGGGAGGTCTACAATAAAAACAACAGAATAATCCAAAAAGAATGAAAGTGAAAGTCTCCAATGAGATTTCTATCCCCTCGCATTCCCCGAATTCAAATTTTTCCACCGAAACATCAACTAGTGATTTTCATCCCCCGAGCGTCTAGTGACGTTCTAGTAACACTCGGACATATCGGAAAGTGGAAAAGACACGGTGCAAGCAGACATTACCTTCGGCAAGTGCATGTGTCGTAGAAAATGTCACTCTTTTTTAAGGACAGGTGATCGGAGCTAAATAGCCGAAATTTCGAGCTACCGGATATTTTGAGTGGTAAGTGAAATAGGTGAAATTGACACTTACCGTGTCTTTGTCAGCTGGTAGTGACTTTATCGCTTTCCTTGAACGCTTAGACATTTTTCTGATAGTTATTCTATCCCCAGTAATGACACTTCTAATTAATGAGCATCGACTCGAAGACAACATCCATAAATTTTCAGAGCGTATTTTTATTTACTAACTTATCTTGGAAAATTACGATTATTTACCCTTCGTTATTGGACTCGCTAAATCCCGGTGAGGGCGTTGTTTTTCGTCAATATGGTCGCTCTAAGGCGCTCATACACGCGCCTACACGAACACAAAATTTGGTTGTGTTGTGTGTGTGAGTGCCCGTGCGCCTCAGAGCCTAAGTGGCGTTTTCTTATTTAGCGAGCGCAATAACCTCAGTAGAATAATAATCCGTCGGTAAGATCGATGCACTTTTTGCCCAGGGTTGCCAACGGAATAAACCTATCGAGTGGCGCCAAATTGAAATATATTTATGAAATTATAAAATATATCGATTTTCCATATTTCACGATAATTACGGAAATTATTTCCGAATATGGAACGAAAGCTCCTCAAAAAGTGATCATTTACCGTAAGCACTTGATTAACTTTGATAATGTGATAATATTGTTTATTGACATTGTTAACAGGTAAAAATGCCGAAGAAATTCGTAGGTGAGAATAGTAAAGCCGTAGCTGCTAGAGCTCGCAAGGCAGCTGCGAAGGAGGCTGAGCACTCCCGAAAAGCTCAAGAGGCTGAGGACAAAGCTTGGGAGGATGATGATAAACAAATTCAGAAAAAGAAACAGAAACAGGTGATCGGAATAAATTGAGCAGTGGCAATACATCCTATGAGATATAAATCCATTCTCAAATAGTACATTTCGATACGAGTGGGTTAAAGTGTTTTTTGACCCGTCGGAGGGGTGTAGCACTCGGCAAAAGCGATTGCTACCCTCCCAAGGGTCGAAAAACCCTTTTTCCACAAGTGCCGAAGCCTATTTTTCAACACAATCTGTGGAAACTGGGGTTTTGAGCACAAAATTTTGCTTTACGCACAAGTGATGAAATAGTATATTGTCTTACTAGTGCGTAAAGTTCCACTTTTTCACACGCACGTGAAACACATCCTATTTTTCATCCCACTGTTCCCTAAAAAGTCGTTTTACAGGTACTTGGTGTCCGTCAAATACCGTTAACGGACACTGTGAAGAAAAATTATGTTCGTCTCTCGGTCGAAAACAACTTTTCTGATTCGTGTGATTGCATCCCTCGACTCCGCCTCGCTCTGCAGTCCTCACACTCCTTACACTATTACCCCATGAAGTCAGGGTTGCCAGAGTTTGGCGATTTATAGCTAAAACCTGTACAATTTTAAATGGGGTGACGTCACCATCTGGTAACACTGCATGAAGTATTACCCGCGTGCGGCTTCATTTACCATCATCTTCGATAGTATGCGTTCCACTACAAAATTTCTCCCACCCTAGTAGAAATTGATCGAAATTCTGCGACATTGAGCCAAAGGGCTTATGCCTATAACATTGAATGTGGCGCGCAAACTCCTGCCGCGATGTTTTTGGGCCATAAAATTTCCACTAGGGCATTAAATCCCCAACTGAATGGGAAAGATCCCATCACCACAGCTATTTATTCAATAGATTTCTTTCATATAAGTGGTTCCTCCTGTACTCATCTCAATCACTTAATAATCTTGCAGGAGGAACTAGAAAGAAAACGCCTCCAACAATTGGAAAAGAAGGCAGAGGCGAAAGCCCTTCTCGAGCAAGAATTGGCGACAATAAAAATAGGTGGTAAACAGTCAGCCTCAAAGATCACAAGAGCAGAGATAATGTCAGCCACCGAGAAGCGAAACCAAGTGGCAATGAAGAAGAAGGACGATGAGAAACCGATTGAGGAGAATCTCAACAGAATCGTGTTGGAAGGCGAAACCGCTCACGGAATTGACGAGGCCCTCTCGATCTTAAGGTACCTAATTCCCCCAGATTTCCTCCCTGAATTAGCCAAATTCCTCACAAATAATCTCATTTCAGCGTGAAAGATCCCGAGATCGATCGTCACCCCGAGAAGCGCGTGAGAGCGGCTTACCTCAGTTTTGAGGAGCGCATGATGCCGATAATAAAGGAGCAAAATCCAACCCTGAGACTTAGTCAGCTCAAACAGATACTGAAGAAAGAATGGATGAAGTCACCTGATAATCCCCTGAATCAGAGGCTCATGAACAACTGAAACGAAACCGACTAATAAAGTATAAAACGGAGAATTGTGGTGTTTTAAACGATGCAATCAACAATACGAGAATAATTAATAATTTATCATTGAAATCAATGTGGTAGGATACATGGAGCAAATAACATTCATAAATCATCTTTGGTACATAACTGAACATGCACAAAATATACAAAATAAAATACTCAACAAGAGGAACCTGCAGGTTTTGCTATTACTAATCATCCCCTCATGTCCCATCTCACTTTTGAGCAGACGAAGAGAAGATCCGTCGATGAAAAAAATCGCTAAAATAGAGCCTCCATCAATCATGATCATCAAAACCTCATTAGTCACACCCTTAACTCTACTCATTAAAAAAATGATTTACACATTCTTCGCTATAAATACACTATGCAAGCGTCATTCAATGGTACATTGATAGAGAGCCAGATGGCCTAATTAAATCTATCTAAAATCTCAATTCTTAAATAATCACCACTTTCTTTTCGTCCACAAGTCTATGAAGCAGTGGATCATGTGATTGACTTGCTCCGGGGTTTCAGTCATTGGCATGTGTCTAGCGGTGGGTATTGCCTCCAAAAAAGCCTTCAAGACAGTCTAAAAACGAAAGACAATGCGTTTGAATTATCATCAAGTTGCAACGAAAAATATTTTAGGATCAGATAATTAAGCATATGCAATAGACCTACCCTCTCCATCTGACATTCTTGCACGAGTGACACTTTATTGTCCCTGAGTCCATGTATAAGCAACGTAGGTGTGCAAATCCTTCTATGGAAAACATAATCACCTTCCGGCCAAATCATACCATCCAAAATGTACCTCATATGCGATGGCCACTGCTCCTCACTCTCACTCCCACAATAAGGATGTTGTCTACCCCTCGGTGAGTACAAAATATCGCGATGAGCACCACACATCAATAATGGTGAGAGCATTGCCCTAAGACACAAGTGTCCAGTACCTTCTCTACTGGGCGGTGCTAATGGCGTTGGTCCACCCCCAGATATCAAAACCAACTGGTGAATTTCCTTGTCATATTTAGCTGCCAACGCCGTTGCAAAACTACACCTAAATACATGAGGAGAATGAAAAAAATTATATTGCACAAAATTGTAGTAATCGGTAGCTTTCACTACCCACTCGTCAATGTTGTAACGACGAGAATAATTTAAACAGAAGAAATTAATCCGCCCTTATTGTCTGTGGGATGTCATCAGCGCGTAGGCTTTGAGTGTTTGATTATTTGCCAACGGTCGCTTTTAGGCCCCGCAATAACGGTTGGAATAGTTTACGTTTACGTTCTGATATGGGCTACGGTACTTTGACCCAACACGTAGCAGGTCGCAACGCATCACCATAGATATAGTATAAAAAATAAGTACTTTGGAGTGATAGTAATCGTAGCTGGTAATGAGAGCCTCAATTGCGATCTTTGGATACTTGAGCTCATTCAAATTACGAGAGTCCATAAAATTGGAGGGATTCTTGTACTCTCCCGTTTCCTTCATTAAAATAAAACTGTTGAATCATTGCGAGTAATAAACGTTACGTCACGATGTCATGATTTTATTTTTCATTTTACTATGAATGTATGGCTTACATTCGATTAAATTCTCCAATTTATTTAGTGGTAGTGGAATGTAGGAGTTGAGCTCAATTTAATATTAAGATCAATGTAATTAAACTAAAATGAGCTTCACCCACGCAAATTCTACCCAATTACTCGGCCACGCGAGCTACCAGTATGCAAAAGTCCCGACATGCAATAAATCCCCGCAATGTCTTCATTTTGTAATTCTCAGTAAAAATCTAATCACGACATAAAAGATCTGAACAATGGACTAAGGAGGCGTCTATTGTCACGCATTAATAAGCCGTGAAAATTAAATTCACAAGTGTTTTATTACCCGTAGTTATGGGCGACCAGGACACACTTATGACCAGGCTTGAAGGCGTAGTGCTCCAGGACAGCCTCGAAGTCCTTGAGGAGTCTGTCGAAACGATAATCCCCGGATCGCGTTGGTGCTGAGCTCATACCGTGGCCCAACATTTCAGGTGCAATGCATGGATAGCCCATTTGGGTGAAATACTCGAGTTGTGGCTCGAATACTTCAGCTGAAGAGCCGAATCCGTGGATGAAAACTATAATGGGCTTTCGATTTCTCCGAAAAATCACTAAGTCACTGTCTGGATCTTCGCGGACTGGGGGCGATTGGGGGCAACCCTTCATCGTTGCACGGTAGTCACGCATTTCTACGGGCTCTTGTTTCGATTTTTTCCCCTTTGTCGACGGGTTCTTGGGGTCTCGACTCTTGCAGGGATTGCTGATCTTCGAGGTGAACTTCTCGCACAGGACGACAACTGCATTTGGTTTTTTTGGAGGATCCTCCTTGAGAGTTGAAGCCCTCGAATCTCGAAGTTCCAACCTGCATCCGTCAAATTTGGCTTCGATTATCGGGTCGTCAAGGCTCTCGAGGATAACCGACTTGGAGTCGTTCTCCTCGTCGACCGATGAAAGCGACCCCGCGATTCTAATGTCGATGTTTGGGAACTGCGGATTGCTGGATTTCGACTGGAGTTCTCCGTTACTATTTTCCCTGCGTTCCGCTACATTTTCATTGAGTGCATTGGTATCATTCACATCCTCCAGGCTCTTTCCCACAGGTCCTCGACCAAACTTGGCGTCTATGATTTGCATCAGCGATTGTTCGAGACTGAGTTCCGGTTCCGGTTGAAACACCACTGTTTCAACGCTATTAATCCCGGAATCGATGCAGTCTAGTTTCTCAAGATCCCCATCACTGGCAATTGGTTTTCTCAGATCAAAATCAAGACAGTCGGGATCCTGTTGGGTACCAGCGAAGGACTCATTGACGTACCCACCAGTCACAACGTTGTTATTACGTATGATTGATGTCTCCTCAGGTGCTTTATCAGCGGGAAAGGCGAAACTGATGTCTAGCGATTCTTTCGAACTCGTGACTTCTGACAAATTTACGTCCTTATGCCCCTCGAGCACCTCTCTACTCTTCCTCAATGCATCATCCGCGTGATTAATAAACTTCATGGAGTCATTCAGTACCTCCTCAAGGAGAACATCAATGTACTTCTCAAGATCCTTGACAATTTTATTCTTAATCGCCAGATCATCGGCGTCACGATCCCCAGTCGCCGGTCCAACATTGGCAATCTCAGCCAGTTTCTGGTCCACCTGACTCCTCGGCTCCGTTGTTATCGGTGAACTCAAACCGTTCAGGTTCACCGATAGCCTCCGCTCAATCTCATCGATATTGTGACCGCTCTTCTCCGCCTCAACGAGGCTCGTTCTAATCCGATTAATCTCAGCTGTAATCATACGCTCCTCATTCGTACTGAATCGCGATGATTGACGGAAGGAGCACCTACAGTTGCCCGATGAATGCGGTCGTTTTGTCCAGCGTGAAATGAAATTCTCGTGAATGGATTCAGGTCGCTCACAGGGTAATTCGTAAAATCCACTGCTCTTTGGAGTTGGACGTAATACACGAAGTGTACGTCGCGTTTCGACAATGAAAAAGTCACACTCGGGTAACTCCACTCTTCCTGGTCCAATTCTGTTTCTATTTCTCAGGTACTCGAATACTTTGAAGCAACAGGGAGAGGTCAATTGGCTCTCTCCCTCCTCCGCAACCACCTCTGTCTCCATTTTCATAAAAATAATATTAATCCAGAATACACTAATCCATTTGTGAAAAATCGCGAGATCCGGAGCTTTTCACTTCACACATCTTTGAAGCAATTTCTTCTCACCTAACTGGAGCGTATCAGTTTTGCCCATTGAGTACATGTGATAAAATAATTCTCTCGGTTCTATCTGCATCGGGTTCCCCAGGTATCCGTCAACTGATAATTCACTCGTAGCAAAACTAGTTCTCCCGGTGCCTCGCTGTCCCAATCGTTACCTGTTCGATAATCTCCCGAAAAAATCCAATCTCTCAACGTTGGAGGGAGACACAACGAGGGGAAAAAATAAAAATGAAAGTAACGGCGCTCCGGTTGGGCTCCTCGTGTTCACGCTAGGCGAATTTCGCCGGTCCGATTAATTTACGAATTCCTAGGGACACTTGAGTCAACGTCGTAGGAAGAGCGATGTTATTAGAGGACAAACACAGACTGATTGATATACACCCAGTGGTGATTCACCGGTGGCAATTATTCTCAACTGCGACTAGAGTTACGCCTCATTGGCATATTGAATATTAACGAGAACGATTCTAGAATGTTTCTGATTATTTGGGAATGGTTTTCGCGAGGAGAAACCACGCTGCTGCCAGTGGAAATGATACCTCACGGGTCAGTCTCTCGTAGCCACTTGTTGCATCGTATCCAGAGGTTCTCAAACGGTAACTCATATTTTAAAACCACAGATGAATCATTAGCGCTTATGACAACAGTGAACAATGAGTCTATCACGTAATCGACAATTTGTGTAGTCACAACTAGCGCTGGTATCTCGTTAGCATTCACTATTCCTCGTGTTTGTATTATTTTCTTGTGTCAAACACAACAACCCGACCAGTGGCTAACAAACGCAAAACTCAAACTGGCAACTGCACGATCCCGCTCACCAAGCAGCAGCGCTCACAACTCTTCATATATATCGTGTCTCTTTCTCACCGGAAATGTAAGACTTGACTGTGAAATTTTTGTTCAGCACGAGCCACACCACACTGAATAACGGCCAATACTGGGCCCAAGACAGATAGACGAGCATTTTAGTGGCACGTAACACAGATGGAAAATTAAAGGAGGTTTGACACATTGGTGGACGGGTCACGGCGGCCATTTATACTACGGTAGGGCTTTCCGAGGGGAGACCAGAATACAGTACAAGTCGTCTTCGTGATCTGCCGAACGTGCCGGACCGAAGTCACTTCGTGCCCATGGGGCACCGTTACTCTTTCAACTGGGAACCGAACTGACGCGCGTGATTTTCAGGCTCTTTCCCCCCGTCGGGGGGATTTCTCCGCCACTTGACTGAGATTTTTTTTATATTTTATATGGTACTTCCTGGCGGCTCTCACGGGACCTCCCTCACAGTCGAGTGCCAGGACTTATGCTCTGGAGAACATCCTCTTCCGTATACTTGAAAACAGATTTTTTTTTCTAGTAGAAAACGGATTTAGTGGGTTCTGTTGGGAGGCGGC